GTATCTAAGAAAGAAGAAACTTAGAGTTAATATTAGATAACTACTAGGAGATAGGAATCTTATCTCTATTTATAGCGAAGACTATAATATCTCCGAGAGCTTCCCGAAATATTCTTCTTTTCTACTTATTTATACTAAATCCTATAATCGCTAGTTCCTTTAAGTACGCTAAACGTAAAATTACGACTATATATATACTAATACTATAAGATACTATAAGAAGTCCTAATTAAGATAGATTCCTATAGTTATATATATACTAATCGCGGTTTAGCTATATCTTATCTTTATTTAATCCTACTTATTATCCTACTATTATAATAGCCCCGACTTATATCCGATTCCGCGACGGTATCTTCTTTATTAGTATAGCGGACCCTACTATCCTATCCGTAGTTATAGCTTAGGTAACGCGAAGGAATATTATTATCCGATAGAGATATAAACGTTACTATATATAGTATATAGTATATATATAAACGGCTAAAAACTTAGGAGACTTCTGGCTAGGACGTCTAGTATAAAGAAGGGGATTAATTATTACGGCGCGATCTACTAAGATACAGTCGCGGGAGAATCACGTACGGAACACTAATAAATCTATCCGGGTTATAGCCCTAAGGATATAGGCCCGGTATATAGGAACTATATATATAATAATCGCAGAAGGGAGGAAGAACTCCGACCTTTAAGATTCAGTCTTTAAATTAGAGCCCCCCTAGACTTCGATCCTCTACCTAGTTAATAGTCCTAGTTACCCTACGATCCTAACCCTAATAATAACCGAAATATAAATTAGATTTCCGAATGGTTTATTAATATATCTTTCTTAACTAGGCTACCGTAAAGACGAATTATCCTTAAAAATAGATTGAACCGATTCTATAAATAGTTTTATAATACTAATAGAAGGTATTTTTTAAGGCGGATACTACTAACGGGTATTAGGTAGTTCCCTTAGCTTAGGAGTATATATATAAAATAGTCTTTACTATTATATAAGGATAATTCTGTTATTTACAGATAGGATAGGGACTTACTAGAGCTCCTAGTATATATTCTAGACTTAAGGATATTACTATAGGTCTAATTCTAGCTCTAAATCTAGAACGTATATTAGGAAAAGATAAGATTAGATTTTATTTCTTTATAGACGACGATATCGGGGCTATAAGGAATATACCTAAACTAATAGAATTTATATATAATCGATATTTTCCTTAGTTAAAGTAGGCTAGATTAACGCTTAATCCTCGAAAGATAGTTATTAGATCTATATCTACTAGAATTTTAGGGTATAAGACGACGCTAATAGGATTAAGGCCTTTAGTTGATAAGATTAGTATAATTTTGAAATAGCCTATCCTAGAAAATAAGGCTAAGTTAATAAGATTTATTTATATCCTACTCTTCCTAAGGATATATATCCCCGGTAGAGCTAACTTAATAATAATCCTAAAGGAAGTAATTATAACTATAGGAAAAGGGAAGGAACGTAGAGTAATTGGTTTTAACTAGATAGCTCGTTAATAAAGAGTATTTAGGAGGATTAAGTAGTTTATTAAGAAGACTTAATTATTAGGTAGTAATCTAGCTTTATAGTACTATTTAGCTACTAATACTTCGGATAAAGGACTAGGAAGTATCTTATTCTAGATTAAGAACTACCCTCCGGGTATATAGTTATCTCGATAGATAATACTACGCGAGTCTATAGTTATATATTAGTTATATATATTAATCTAGCCCTAGATAAGATATTATATAACGGAGAAAGAGGTATTAGTAGTATTTTAATTATTAGAAGAGGTAAGATAGCTAATATAAGACTTGTTATACCTAGTTATTATTTATACTAATTATTCCGCGTTAAAAACTACTTTTAGCGGATAAGCAGACCTAACTAGTCGAATAGTAAGGTAGCTTTACCGGTTATAAGAATATAATATCGATATTATTTATATATTTAGTAAATTATAAGTTATAGTAGACAGATTATCTAGGTTATCTTATTAGACTATTAAAATATTCGAAGAATAAGAAGAATATACTCTACCGATTATATAAATCTATTAAGGAGAGTTAGATAACAAGCTAGTTAGTCTAAGTTAGGAACGGTCCCTTTTTAAGAAGTTTTTAGATAATAAATAGTATACTAAGATAATAGAAAGATTATTATTAAGTTAATAGATACCCTAGGATAAGCGATATTATTTAATCTATATCGAAGGATAAGGATATCTAGTATACCTCGAGAAGCGAGGAGAATATACTAAGTATATTACCTTGGAAGAGGTCTCGTAAGTATTATATAATATATATAATCTTTACGGCTACTTTACTTTCCGAATCACTCTAGGAAGGCTAATAGGGAAGTTCTTCTAGCTAACGCGGGTTAAGGATATAAAGAAGTATTATAAATCTTATCCTAGATACTAGCTAGTAGGGCCCCGGTTACTAAAAGATCCTCTATTATTAATTACGGTACTCGAACCTATATCGATATACGTAATAGACTATATCGGTCTAATTTCTCCGGAATCTAATAAGGGCTATAAGTATATTCTAGTTAGGGTAGACTATTTTAGTAGGTTTATTATAGCTAGAGTAGTTACGGAAGTAATAGCGGAGTCGTTATAGACCTTTTTAAGATATAAAGTAGTAATATACTTTAGGTAGCTATCTATAATCTATATAGATAGAGGATCTTATTTTAAATCTAGCTCTTTTATAGGTCGAATAAGTAATTATAGAGTAAGATATATTTTTATAGTATCTAGAGCTCTATAGAGTATAGGAATTACTAAGAGAATAGTTTAATAATTAATTATAGTACTAAGAGCGTAGGCCGTTAAGAATCTTAATATCCTTTTAGACTAGGATAAGTACCTCTCTTAAGTTATTATATCTATTAATACTCGATAGATTAAGTACTATAGTTTTATACTAGTATAGGTCTTCCTAGGATTTTAATCCTACTATACCGGACTAAGAATAATTATTAAAGATATACTAATAGAGATCTTAAAAGCTAACCTAGACTTATCTCTATAACTACTAGAGGGACTAGAAATTTATCTAGATATCCTTAACTATATATAAACTAAAATCCGGGAAGTAAGTTAATAATAAACGGATAAAGTAGCTAAAATTTAGGGACGACGCGAATTTAAAGTTAGCGATCTAGTTCTACTCAGAAAAGCGGTTCTAGATTAAGTTAAAGAATATAAACTCGAAATAAGATAGTCTAGACCTTATAAAGTCGCCTAAGTACTTTTAAAAAGAAGATCTATAATTCTTAATAACTTAACCTCTAGGATAAGAGTTAGTAAGTACCCTTTTAATTACCTAAAATAATTCGTTATATAAATAAATTAACCTAAAGAAGAAGCGTAGCGGTTAGCTTAAAGAGTATAAGCTTAGTAAGATTTATTAAAAGCTATTCGATAGGAATCCGAGGGATTATCTAAAGATTAGTAGTAGTCTATAGATATAGAAGTTAATCTTAGTTCTGTCTTACTTTAACTAGTAGATTTCTTTTATCGTTTCGCTATCCCCCTTTATTAAAATCCTTACCTCTTTTATATAACTTTATAAGTCTTTAATTAACCTATAAATAATAAATATAATTATAGATCCTAGTAGTAGTAAAAACTATTAATAGATAATAGATAATAACTTAGGGCTTTAATTAAAGGTAACGTAAATAAACTCTACTCTATCCTAGGCTAGTATAGTAACTACCGTTAGGAAAAGGAATAATAACTTATTAACGTAGTAGGTAGATCTAAATAGCCTACGAATAAAGTACGCTAGGATAGAGATAAAGGAGGATACTAAACTCCTACTAAAATTCAAGAATATAACCGAGGATAAGCGAAGTTAAGTAATACTAACTAACCGGGAAATTATTACGCTAATCCGATTTAGTCGATAAGTTCGAAAATAATTCCTTATAGTATAGATACAAGAAGGATATCTCCGAGTTAACTACCGATACCTTATTAATTCTAAGGATAATAAAGATAATAATCTATTCGATCTTAATACTAAGATCTCTAATATTAAGAATTACGGATTAATAAAAGTTTAAGAAGAGTTTAATACTATTTTTAACTCTAAAGGAAAGCTCCGATAAAGACGTAAGAAATAAATCCTTAATTAGCGCGATAAACTTAGTATATTCAAGAAACGTAACTCTATAGAAGTAGCTTAAATTAATAAAGTAGTATAATATAAGCTAATCTATAAAGTCTTAGTTATAACTAGAGCTCGACGTAAGTATAAGAATCTAGCTATTACTTATACTAGAAGTAAGGCTCTTTATTACCGTTATATAGAAATATTTAAAGAGGTTTTAGCTAAGAAGGAAAAAGAGATTAAAGCCCTATAAACCTAATTACAGAAGAAGATATCGAAGGAGGACGATAACTAATATAGATTAAATTCCTATATATAGTATTACTAAATTACCGATACTAGACTAAAGATCAAAATTCCTCGATAGAATTTAGGGCTCGGACCCTACTAAGATACTATTTTCTGGTTTTAGTTTTTTTTTAACGTATTTTACTATAAGAATAGTTATATATACTAGACGGTAGGAGTAGGGCTATAGGCTAGGCTCTAGGCTATGTCTCTTATTCCTCTTCTCTTTTTAGTTCCTAATACAAAATTTTCGTACGATTCTATTACGACCCTGATTTATCGAAGTCAGATCTACCTATCTCGTTCTTTTATCTCTTGTTTCGTCAAGGCTTATAGACCTAATTAAGGCTGGTCGAAAAGTACGCAAGTAGACTTTTTCTCCCGTCAACATCTCTCTGATTACCCTACTATACCTCACCCCACCTCTGTTTTTCCCACTGTCCTTACCATTCAAAGCGTCTTTGCCCTGACAAGAGTTGCTCATTCGCTAAGACTGGCGGGAGTTCGAATTTTGACATATCGCAAACAACATCAGACAAGCTACATCTATATGAGGATGACTTATATGAAAGCGCGGATGCGGAGCGCAAGCTATTCGCACAATGGGCCTCCTCTGCAACCTTCAAAAAACAAGCTGATGATTTCGAAATTCACGACTCGGACGAGCTAGGCCGGAAGCTGAGTCCATTTTTGGAAAAGCTGGGTCTGGTTGGCAAGGTATATCGCGCCCTTTTGGTTTAGAACACACGCCTGACAAAAAATAGGGGTATTCTCTGGTACAAATTCCCGGTCCGAAACACGCGCCATTCCACTACAGCAAAGGTGATGTATTTATAATCCCTATGTAAATACTTGATAACAGTCCGAACGCCTCGGGAAAGCCTCTTCGGGAAGGGAAACGACTATATATGAAGGCAAACCATGAAGTGAAGATTGAACCGAAACTACGTTTGCTCTTTGTCCTGCTTTAGCGAGTGAAGACACGGCCCTTCATGCAGGGATAGTGGAAAAAGAAGAGAGCTCATAAGAGGCTATATTTTGTGTTGTTCGTATTTCCGAAACTGAATCTATACCGGCCGCTTATAAGTTTGAAATATTATAGTATTATAGTCTCGCGATATTAGCTATATAGTATTTTGAAAAAGAATAGTAGTTTAATAGTAGTTTAATAGTAGTTTAATAGTAGTTTAATAGTAGTACTATAGTACTTAGTAGTATTATATGAGTATTTTGATGATTTACTGGTAGATTTCTGCAGAGTAGTAAGGTATTTATAAAGTATCTAAGGAGTATTAAGTCTAAAATCCGTATCTTTAGGTATTTTTAAAACGCTACTATATTATCTTAGATACTTTAAGATACTACGTTCGTAAGGTACTACGGATATTAATAAATATAATATAACTACTATAGTAATACTTAGGTAGCTACTTTAAAAATACTTATCGCTTACTTACTATATAGTCCTTACTATAGGACTAGTCCTATAGTATCCGTAGAGGAGTATAACTATTAGGGTATAGTAGTAAGAGTATTAGTATTATACTTACTATACTTAAGATAATATAGGGTTTTAGCGACTACAATCTTACTATATATATCCTACTACTACTATAAGAGTATAGTAATATAGGTTAATATAGTTATTTTTATAAGTATAGTATCTTATAATATACGGTTTATATATAGTAATACTATAGATCTCTAAGTAACTATAGTCTAATAGTATTATAAGAGGGCTATAGTAGCCTTAATATATTCTCGTTATCTAGCTATAGTAAAGCTAAGACTAGTACCTACTACTAGGTAGTACTTTATCTATACTATAGTATACCCTATAAATACTACGGTAGTTATAAGGTAATCTAGAAGTACTAGATAGTATAGCTATCTATCCGGGTAGATATATAGATAGATCGCGAGTTCTAATATAGACCTAATTAAAGTTAAGTCTAGGTTATTATTTAACGACTAGGATATCTTTAGAAGTTAGATATCTATAGCTTTAAAAATTAAGGGCCGATAGCTACTAATCTAATATATAGAATCTATTTAGATTAGTATAGGAAGTATCTATCTAACTAAGAGGAATTCGGAGGAAGGCTATCTTTAGATATAATTATCTCCTCTACTAGAATATTTTTCCTCTTTCTAATAATATATTTTATAGGATAGACTAAGACTTTAAAACTATTCTAAGTAATATATATAAAGCTATTACTCTAGTATATTCTATCCTAGAAGTAGACTATATAGTCCTAGTTACTATCTATATAGGTATTATTATCTAAAGTATAGATATTAATATTTATCTTTATATATATAGTAATATTACTCTAAATATCTATATTATAGATATTCTATTAGTCTATAAAAATTCTATTAGAGGGATTATCTAATAGAAGAGTAAATATTAGGAGAGTAGTATTATAGAAGTATTAACTACTTATACTTAAAGAACTACTATCTAGCTAGAGATAAACTATTAAAATCTAGGAATTAGGCTATCTAAAAGAAATATATAAAGAGCTTATCCTTCAAGAAATATTTAAAGAAGTACTTATAGAGCTCTACTCTATCTATAATATATAATAGATTCCTCTTATTTAGAAAGTCGGTTTTATCCTATTTAATTATCGCTCTAATCTACTTCTAGAATATAAGATTTAGTTAGTCTTTAATATAAAAGATCGATATTAGTAGAGATATATAACTAGATAATTACTATATCTTAAACTTATATAAACTTCTAGACTTCTAGTTCTTCTTTATATTACTAATAATTATTTTCCTATATATAATAATTACTTTATTATTAGTAAAGCTTAGATAGATCTCTATAGTAAGAGCTAAAGTATTATTAATCTAATACTATCGAATATAGTACTAATCTAAATAATCTTTTATAGTATTATAGATTTCTAAAATTATTTCTTCTATAAGTCTAGTTTCTATTACTAATTCTTTCTCTATTTTATGGCGCTTTTATTTATTAAGTCTAGAAGTAATCTCTTCGGGACTATTAGGGAAGACTATAATCTAACTATAGTCCTCTCTTACTTAAAAGTTATAATCTAAGCTATATAATTAATAAACTTAGCTTATCTATAAGTTTCTTTTTTATAATAAGTCTATCTTAGTATATTAGACTAAATCCCTTCTTTTATAAGCCGATAGCTCTATTTATCCCTATAGTAAGAATACTTATTTCTTATATTATAGAGGAATACTCTTCTCTTTTTATAGGAAAGCCTTAAGTAGATAATATAGGATATCTTTTTAGCTTTTTAAGGATAGGGCTATTAGAAAGCTACTATTAATAGAAGACTAGTAGGAGAATATTTATTAAGAAGCTCTAGTTAGAAGATTAGAGAGTATATATAAAGGCTAGAAATAGTATTTTCGATCTTTACTTATATTTTAGGCTAGAGATAGTTAAGTAAATAATAACTAATAGAAGATAGTACCAAGAATTATTACTTAACTTTAAGAAGAAGATACTTATAAGCTTAATTATAAAGGATAAATAATCTTAGTCTCTATCCTAAGAATTTAGTTTTATTCTTTTACTACTCTAAGTATTACTTTTATTTTATAGTTTAGTTTTAAGTATTAGTCTCTTCCGGTATATACTTCGCGATAATACTTAAGATTTAAAACTATAGAGCTCTTCGATATCTTTATCCCTATCTTTATCGATATTCTTATCTAAATCTAGGCTACTATTATCCTAATTATTACTATAGTTACTTTGGTTATTATTATTATATTTATTATTCTATTTCCTCTTATTCTCCTTAATTTCGTTAGTTAGCTTTTATTTTTTTATACTACTTCTACTAGCTAATATAGTAATAGAGATATAATTAGAAGTAGGCTTCTTTCTAGTTATAGATTTTAATTTTAAAACTAGTATATATTTATCTAAATTATTCTTATTATTAACTTAGAATATCTTATTCCTATTACTATCTCCTTTATTATTAGTATACTTATTTATATAATCTATATAAGGCTTATTAGTATCTAATATAGTATAAGATTCTCTAATTAGTATATAATTCTAGTATATAAGAAGTCTAGTATTCGATTTTCTAGGATAATAGTAAGATAGCTTATACTAAGTCTATTAGTCTTTAGTATAGATTATACTATTATCTATTCCTAGATATTAACTTATAGAACTAAAGAATCGCAGAGGGGATATCGATTTAGTTAAGAGATAGTATTTATTTAACTTATTACTATAGAAGTTAATAGAAGGTATAATATACTAATTTTTCGCTAGAAGTCGCTAGCTATTTCTCTTATTTTCCTTATTCTTAGGATCGATATTTTCTATCGGATATAGGCTAGATAACTTAATAGATAGTTAGTAGATAGCTTAATAATAATTATCTAAAGATCTCGAAATATACTTTTACTAGAAAGAAGGTAGTTTTATAGATAGTAAATAGAAGATAATCCGAAGAGGAAGATAAGATTAGTCTAAGAGAATAGGAAGACTAAGTAGACGGATAGGATAAATAGGATCTTATTAGAATAGAGATAAAAAAAGATAAGAGTTAGTATTTCTAGATAGATATCTCTATATTAGTAGAATATCTACTTAGAGTATATCTATACTAGTAGAAGCCGAGACTTAGTATTCCTCTAGCTAGATATCTATCTAGGTAATAAGAATTAATAAGCTTCTACTTTTTAGGCTATCTACCTAGAGATAGATATAGGATTATCTAATAGCCTAGGTAGTAGGACATTAAAGATTATATTATATCTATTATAACTTAAATATAATACTAGAGCTAATACTATAAGCTTAGCTAGACTTAGGTTAATATATATAGCTATAAATAAGCCTTAGATATTTAGGTAATAGAGCTAGCCTAAATACTTATAGTAAAAACTTTATTACTTAACTTATTAGAACTTTATATACTTATAACTTAGATCTATTAGATACTACTAGGGCTTTTATTATCTATAGATAGAGTATCTAATCTATTTAATATATCTATTATTAGTAATAGAGTAAAGTAGATATCTATATGTAGCTAATCTAAATTTAGCTAAGAATTTAATAGTCTTCTCTATATTCTATCTCTTAGAGCCTATTAGCTCTTAGAGTTAATTATTCTTAGATAAACCTATCTATAGATATAAATATAAGTTAATCTAGTTCCGTCGGTCTAAGTCTTCGATCTTATATAGGGCTATTAGATATAGTAGCTATCTAGATAAGAGGGATTTATAGATCTAGGTAGAATAAGATAAAATACCTAATATATCTACCTAGTAGCTAGATAGGAGCTAATTCTAATCTAGTAAATCTATAGAGTATCTATATAAGATATATCTTAAGTAACTAGGTTAGCTTCTAAGAAGTTATTACTAGTATAGATAGCCCGACTAAATAGAAGATCTCCTATCTATATCTAGGTATATCTAGATACTAGATTATTATATCCTAGAATACTTAGAAGATAAGATTAGACTCTTAGAAGTCTATTAGTAGCTATTCTAGCCTATCGGAGCCTAGATAGTTTCTAGACTTAGATAGAGTCGAATTTAGGATTAGGTAGATAGTAATAGATAGCTATAGATTTAAATCTATAGAGTAGTAGTAAGTTCTTTCCGGGTATCTATTCGTAATATCCGGGTAATAATAGGACTATCTTAGCTTCTATCTTTTAATAGTAGACCTATAGATATCTAGG